TCTGTCACCAGCTTCCTATAGCCTGGTGGCCTAGATGCCATGGAGGGGTCTTCAGGCACCCTTTCCCAGGCCTTCTCTCCCAGTGATTACCTCATTGGTCCACACACACTCAGGGTCAGGTCTTTTTTGGGTCATGACATGGTGTTTGAGTTCCAGAGCCCTAAGAACAAAGTCAGAACTGGTAGGGCTAGTCTCATAGCTGTGGGGCTTAGAGATGCTGTGCCTGGTGAGCTAAGACTGGTGTTGACTCTCAGTGTCACCTAGGAGTGCATGCAGGTAGGGATGTAGGAGGAAGTTTTTGTGCCAGTTAGACATTTTTCCATAGATGATGATAGTAATAAACATTTTCTTTTGAATGGCAGAGTGAGTATCTAAATGAATCCCATGTTGCTGTGAGTTTTTGTTTGCAGCATCTGTGCAGACACACCCTTCGAGTCTGGGCCTGCTGAAACTAAGGTGCCTATGGGTGCTGAGGGAGGTTTGGCTAACAGGTAGCTTGGTAACTTGGTCTGGAGCTCAGGACAGGAATATGGGTGATTGAAGGATACAGAAGCATGAACAGATCCAGGTGGGGCTGGGGGCCAATGTCATAAAAGGGCAACTGGAAGATGGGGCTGAGGACAAGGACCTGGGTGGAGGACAGCCAGGCAAAGACCATGGCCCTGCAGAGGGTCCATGGGGCAGTGCAGGTCACAGTGGTAGGGATGAGGAAGGCAGGGAGGAGAGGGAAGAGGAAATTCCCCTGTGGAGGAGGAGAGCAGGAGCCCGAGGAGCTAGAGGAGCTGGGTGGGGTGTGGACAAGCATCCAATATTATTGTTATTGTTAGTGGGCAAAGCTTCTGTATACCAGCACATGGAAGGAAGGGGGAACTGGAGAGGAGGAGTTGGCCAGGCCTTTGGGAAGGCTGAGTGATGGGATGGGGCCAAGTGCTGTGGATCCCAGGGAGGGAAGCAGAGGAGGCAGGAAGTTTTCTTTTCCCAGCTTCTGTTTTCCCTGGTGAACCCAGGGAACATCCAGGTGATGGAGGGCAGGTCCCAGAAGACCCTGGCAGAAGTCTATGTGGGCTCTCAGTTTCTGCATGCTTCCTCAACCTCAGCCCAGGACTCAGAGCCAGCCAGCCTGGACGATCTGTGGGCCCAGGGCTTCGAGAAGGTCATGTGCAACCCAGGCTCACCTAGGATGCAGAGCTGCCAGGCCTTCCCGGCCACAGCCCAAACCTGTCTCCCCTCTAGAGCCAGCCTTGTCTCCTCTGGTCAATTTTAACTTAATCACCATCAAATCTGTTCCATAGTGTGGACCTTTTTTAGGCATCGGTGGCTGGAAGAGTTGTGTTGTATTACTTCACTCTTTCCAGTCCCACTTCACACAGATGGAATCTCTTGTAATCCTGTAAGACCAAACACAGAGGGGAAGAGTGCCAAGGAGGTTGGGCCCAGAGTGTGGTTCAGAGCAGAGAATAGTCTGATTTCTTCTGACATCTTGATAAATCTTTCTGTACTGAGGCTGAGAGGTTCCAGTGCCGAGGACCTCATTCACTCAAAAGACACTCAAATGCCTGCCGTGGGCCAGGCCGCATGCCCAGCATGCCACTACCCTGCTCCAGAATCTTCCTCCTGCAGTCCCCAATGCAGCCCTGGGAACACTTCCAGGATCCTTGTCCTCAGTGATGGAACAGATGCCAGGACACCAGCAACTGGGTGACAGAGACAGGGCTGGGATTCAGAGTGGCCTTTTCTCTCCAAGTCCTCTGCTACTCCCACATCATCAGTGCACCTCTCAGACAGTGTCTCACCTTGCTGAGGTTTCAGTCTGAAATGAAACCTGTCTCCTAGTGTACAAGGCTCCTTAGGGAACTGCTGACCCCCAAAACTGCATTTGAATCATGGTCTGGCCTTAGAAATGTTCAAACCAAATAAATTGGTGGCACATGTGTGAGGATCTGCCTGCCTGACATTGGTGAAAAGAGAAACAGCAACAGGTTTTAGTAGTTCAGGATGGCAGCTGGAGGCTGGGGTGGGAAAGGAAGGAGGTGCTGTGTTTTTGAGCCGAGGCTGAGCACCCCTTGCCACCTCCACTTCAGTGTGCCCACATGGTCCCATCCTCTATGAATCCTGGGAAGATAGGCATTATGTGGCTGGGGTGTGGACAGCCAGGATCTCACCCAGGTCTAACTGTGGGTCCACACTGCCTCCTTCCAGATGTCTTCCCAAGTGGTCGTATGTGGAAATAAGATCACAGAGTCCAAGTGAAACACAGAAGCAAACATATACACACACAGACACACACACCCTTCTGCTACTTGCTGTATAGCCCTGGCTGCTCTGGAGGTCCCTGTATACATTAGTCTGGCCTTGAACTCATAGAGATCCATCTATCTCTGCCTCCCGAGATTAAAGGTGTGCTCCACCATACCAGGCACTACTGCTGTTTATTTTTAAAAGGAAGGGGAAAAAAATGTAGGGAACTCTCAGTCAGAAACCCAGGCAAAAAGCAGTCTCAATCCTGAACATGAGTTGAATGAACTGGGTTTATGGTTGATTATAACCCATACTTTTTCAGCATTGACATTGGGGGCCCCCAAGTGAGAGAGGTCTTCCTTCTGACAAACCAGCTCTAATGGGGCAGTAATTGTGTTTGGAAAGTGACAGAAATACGTACTTAATAGTGTGTGTGCAAAGAGAAGGGTAAATTCAGCTGAAGCAGGTCAAATATACACTGGAAATCCACTCAGGTACACAGTTCCAGACAAGGTACACCACAGTGAACAGGAAGTCCTTCATTGCCAAGAGATTCACATGTGATTTGAGAAGTAGAGTCATGGTATTCATTCAGATCAGACTCTGAGCCCCTTCACCAATTTGTTAAAATGGGTGTGGTGATAATTACTCTGAGTAAACCTACACTAAGTGCCTGCCCCAGGCCTGCTGTGCAGGGGGTTCTTGTTCAATGCTGGCAGTAGTTGACAGCATTGTCTTCAGATGTAGGGTCTAAATTCTGAAGCTGAGGCCTTGCCCAGGTCCTGTCAATTGTATTCTTTCTTGGGGATGACAAAGAACAGTGACTATTCATAGATGTGAGGCCGCCAGGAAGAGGTATGTCTCAGCTCCTGTTGGTCCTCATGTGTACCCCCACGTCCAGGTGGTTCATCTGGCAGCTAAGCTGCCCTCTGCCCTCAGCCAGTTTCCCACACATGCCTGACTAGGACTCATCATGAGACACTAAGATGATTTGATGAGTTTGTGCTTCAGACATAACTGTCCAGCCAGTAAGTTTTGTCTTTGGCTGTTCCTGCCATCCCAGTCCCTGACTTCCTTGATCTGTGTTTGCTCCAGCTGGTTGGCAGGTGACTCTCGTTAAAGTTCTTTAAAATGTTCCAGGTATGTACTTTTAAAAAGTTGCTTATAATTCAGAGTGCTGATGGGAATTTAAAAGAGGTCCTGGAGCTTGGTGGGGAACTTCCCTCCCTTCCTTGTCATGTGCCCCAAGGCACACCCTGGGGATGCTGGCCTTTTCATGATGGCCCCTTGGTCCTTTTATGTCCTCTGAATTATTCCTGGTGGTCAGGTCTGGTATTTCTAGGTTCTTGGCCTCTTATTCAAGGAACTGAAATAAAGGCTCACAGAGATTACAGAAATGGAAGAGGACCTTTATTCCAAGCAAAGCAGTAGAACAGCTCACGAGAAGTGCTGTCAGGAGGGGCAGTGGGCCACATGACTGAGGGCACTCTTGGGCCCAGATACTGTTTGGGGCTTCCTTTTACGGGGTTGAAGAGGAGGCATTTGGTTGCTATAAAGAGTGGTCCCAGTCGTTCTGTTTTGGTTGACAGGCTTGGATTACGTAAACCTTCATTCACTGTGCATGTTCCCTCCCATGATGTCTCTGATTTTAATCTATGCTTGCCTAATTATACCTGGGCATAAGATGGTAAATAGAGACTCTCCCTAGAAGTTCCCTTAGAGAACACAATTCGCCTTGCTATGCACACACCCCAAACTAATTCAGGCTGGATTGACCTTCCTAGCCTCATACCTGGATAGAATTGAGGTGTGATTGAATATAATCTGTTTGTTTGATGGTCGTTAAAGGGAGGAGAAATTTACCTCATTGTTCAGAAAGGGGTGTGTGTGCAGCTGGATGCAGGTGGGGGTCATGGGTTGCTAAGGGGTTGCTAGGTGCATTTTTTTGGAGACAGGTGTAGGTGTGGCCTCAGGCTGCCAAGTGCCTTGTTAGAAGAGGGGTGTGTGCATAGCCCAAACCACATGGAGTCACAGGTTGCTTAGCTGCTCCTGGTGCATGCTGCTTCGGCATCACCCCACACAATTGCTCCTGTTGTCCCCAAGTAGGAAGCAGCCTTGGAGACAGGTAAAACATGCATATTTGATTCATCAAATTATGATGCTAAGCCTACTGGGAAGGCAGACACATGCCCCTGCCCAGGTTAATGGTACCTTCCCTTTCTGTGTCTTTGGCTATATGAGCCATGGACGGGGCCAGCTTCAGGAAGGAATCCCAGGTAATTCCAGAAGCTTCTCTGATTGCAGCTTGGCCTTGGACTGTGCCTGGCTCCAGGAGAACGTCGTGTGGCCAGTGAAATGTGAGATTCTTCCGCTAGATTTTAATGTTAAGCTAGCCTAGAGCCCTGGCGTCATATCCAGGACAGGATGAACCCTGCTGGTTTAAACACTTACACCCCCTCTCAGACAGTGTGTGCTGAAAGAAAGGCCTTTTGTGTAGAGAAGCTGGCAGAGGGAATAGTTTATCACAAAAATCCTAGGAAATAGGGACAGAGCTGTGGGGAAGAGTGCACCATGTCTCTTATCCTCTGGCTGCACCTGCGTGCACCTCCATCTGCAGGCCCAGGCTTCCTCTCCCACCTGGTGAAGACAGATGCAGCCAAGGCTTGAACCCTGCCCACCTCCCCACTCGCCTTCCTACCAGATGTTGTAGTGTTTTGCATGCTGACTAGAATCCCTGCTGAAACCGACTCTCTGCCTCCTAGGAATTAGCCAGCTGTGGATGGAGTAAGAAGGAGAAACATAGTCTCGCCCCTAACGTCGTGGCCTTTACCCGGAGGTTTAACCAGGTAAGCGACTCGGCTTGCATGCACCTGTCCTCGTGGTAACGCTCTCCTTGTAGGCCGAAGCTTCTCTGTGATCAATCCCAGACACCTGTCCCAAGGTCCCAGTGTTCTTCCTGAATCACTCCCTGTGGTCCACCTCTGTGCCATCGTAGTCTGGTTCACAAAGTAGGTGGAAGCACAACTTTCCTGCACCAGTGTCACTCCACATAAGCTAAGGGTACAGCATCTTCACTTTGATTTGTTCTGTAAGGGCCTGCGTGTGGGGAGGTGGGATGAGGGGGGAATCTAGCCTCTACTCACCCCTCCAGCCTCACCTTTCTTCCTCCCCCTCCTTCCCTCTCCAGGCTCCACCATCCTGGCCTGACCCCTCTTGCCTGATGTGCCCTATCTCTGTCCTACTAGGCCCCTGTCCTCCATGTGCTGTGCTCTTGGCCCAGAACTCTTCCTCCCCATTCAACCCTGTCAGGTTTTAGCCTGAATGTCACCTCAGGGAGCTGCCCCTGAATCCCCAGCCTTACAGGTCTCCCTGTCAAACATTCCCTCACCGCACCTTCTTGTACTCCATGCCATCCGTAACTCAGCTGTCCTCATGGTGTGTATTCTGTGGTCTCTGTGAGGACTGTGCCTGTCCTGTTCATCGTTCTGTCCCCACCACCTTGCCAGTGTTGGGCATGTGTATAACAAACCTTCAGTAAATACACATGGAACAAATGAGTGAGGTGTTAGGAAGCGTTTCTTGAGTTGAGCTTCTTGGTCCCACACTGTTGGAAATGGACTTGGTCCAGCTCCACATTTGCTCTGGGTGTGAAGAACTAGCTCCCCATTCATGATTGAAAGATGGACCAGCCGAAGGGCCAGGGCTTCTGATTTCTTCACCAGACCTTCCAGAGCCTGGCCTTTGATAGTAGGCTCCCTTCAAGGCGTCCTTTGCAGCAGCCACACCTCCAAGGAAGGCTTTTCTCAGTCTCTTCTCCCTCTTGGTTTTCCTGGTTTCAAGTGAGGACAGAGGCCTGACAGTTGTGTGATGTGTGTGACTGGCCCTCTGGGTGGTCTTGGTGACTGGCCTCCGGGTGGTGGCCCTTGGGGTCTTGGTTTCAGCTGGGCCTTCCCTCTTAGAAATGCCTGGCCCCTATGCATCACTACTGCTCAACCTCTCTATCCCTTTCCAGCCTCCACATCTTCAGCCTCAGAGAGGCACCAGTTTGTGATCTGAAGATCAAGGCTGCAGTTGGCATGGGAGTTGTTTGGTGAGGTGTGATAGGAGCCAAGAATGGTATAGCTGCCTCTGGGTTGCAGTTTGTTTTGAATAGAGAAGGTACAAAGACTTTAATGCTATGAATCTTTTCCTTTCAACCTAAGCTTAATCTTAGAAAGAGACAGATGTGCACACGCTATCAGAGAATTCATAGTTTCCTTAACAAAACTATTTGACTAGAAGCCAACTCTGTCTGTTCCTTGGACCACCAAGTTGCTCTGGGAGGATGGGCCCTCGGGGACTCTGTTATAAGATGCTTCCCACAAGGGTACAGGTCAGCTTGACAAAGGTAGAGTAGCCTGCATGGTGAGCGGTTGCATTGTGTGCAGCTCAGACCAAGTGGTGCAGTGAGCTAGAAGTCGAGCAGCATTTTCTCAAACAGAATGCTCTGGGAAATGCAGGGCTGCCAAGAGGTAGCAGCTCCCTCCCGGACAGAGCCTTCATAGCAGGAACTGCTTTCTATGGGATCCCTTCCTGGTGGACCTGACACATGTCAAGATAGGGCTTACCTTATCAGACTCCAGATGAGAGCAGGCAGCCCACTGACCCCATTGGCGACCAAGCATAGCAACAGTACTCACCTTGCAGTTATACGAATGAAAGAATTTGGTCTCTGAAGAGCGTGAGCATGGTATCTGGCACATAGGGGACATTTGGGTGTTTTAGAGGGAACCAAAAGGTAAATGTGAAGATCAGCTAGTTGGAAGAAGTTGCCCGAGGATTTGAGTCTCCTGAGTCCAAATCAGAAACCCAGTGGCAGGTGTCCTGCTCGACTTGTCTGCTCCTCTGTGAGGTCTGAGCACCTCAGGATTTGCTCATAGAGTGACTGGGTGGAAGAGCTTGGGCAGGTTCATCTAAGGTGTGTTATGTGTCTCCACCCCACAAAGAGTTCACCCCCAGCCCAGCTCTAGATCTTCTAGGGTCATTCTTGTGAGGATCTGACAATATTGCATCTGAATCTATCTTTAGAAAATCCACAGGTTATGAATTTGCACTTAGTTGGGGGGGGCACCTACTGCTGCCCTAAAGCATATGTGGGGATGCTGAGACTCTACAGGGAGTCAAGCAGTCCTGAGTTTGAGTCCTAGCCACAGCTCTTCAGCTGTCGGATCTTGGACTGGCTTTGGCTTCTGTGAGCTCATCTTCCTCAGGGATCATCTCAACTGGTTTTTGAAGGATGAAATGAGAACCTGTACTGACACGGAGGAAACGGTTCATTAACTTCAGAGAAAAGGAGCAGCATGGGGTTGGCTTCTAGCCAAGAGGAGGCCAAGGCAGATGTAGGAGGCTGGAACGTTAGAGTAGACGTGAGGGCCAGTTGTGCATCCCTTGGATTCCAAAATGATGAAAAGGCTCAAGGGGAATTGGAGAGCTGAGGACTGCTGGCCTTTGCCATGGGCAGAGAACAGGAGGTTGCACAGGAGCCTGAACAAGGGCAGAAAAGAGAACATTCCGAAAGGGCAGAATCTGGACGTGCCCTTCAAGAGCTGTGGGTACTCCAGCTCAGGTCATCTGGGCAGGACTGACAAAGAACCCATGGATCTCAGCCACAGGGGCGTGCTGGTGACTTCAGCCAGTTTTGTGAGGGTATGGCAGGAGGTACAGTAGGATGTAGGGGCAATGGAGGCAGTAAACATAGGTGATCCTGGCAACAGCAGCTCCAAAGACAGAAAGAGCAGTGGCTCGAGGGGTCAGTGGCATCCAGGGAGGTGATCATGCTTCTCTATCAAGTGCGCAGACCCTTGAGGGTGCTCATATTTGAGCAGAAGGATCCAATAGACCAGGAAAAGCTAAAGCTGAAGATGAGGGGGGTGGTGTGTGACAAAGTGAAGTTCCAGAGAAGATGGGAGATGGGGTCCCTGGGTTCCTTAGGGTACAAGATGCCAGCATGAAGGAGATGCACATACACACAGGTGTTCCCAGCAGTGTCGTCTGTTATAGCAGAATACTAAAAATGACCCACAAACAGTAGGGAATTTGTTCAGCAAGTGATACCCATATTTAAGATGAAGTACTTGAGGGGGGAGTCAGTTACACCTCCCACCCACTCAGTCGACCTTAGTTGCATGTGAGGGAGGGGCTAAGGATGTAAGTGAGAATGCCATGAGGCACCTCTCGCTATTTTGTATGGCTGTTGGGAAGTCACAGGATCTATATTTGAGTGTGGACTTAACAGCACAGCCATAAATGAGGGGACACCCACTCTTCTGTAAATAAACCCCCACCCTATGCTCTGTTAGCAAGCCCAATAAAGTAGTAAGGATTTAAAAAAAAAAAAAGATGAAGTATTTGAATGCTGCAAACATTGTAGATAGTACTTCTAAAACTTCTTGTGATATAGGATTGACACTTACCAATTCTAATGGAAAAAGCCAACCCTGGACACAGACCACACTGTTTATCACTGTCTGTCTGTGAGTCTGAGATTGCAGAGACTGCCTTTTGTGCTTATCTTTACTTCTTTGTCTTCTGGATCTGTTCAAGTCTACAGTTAGAGAATAGAAAACATTCAGAACCAGGCCTGTCCTACCCGTCGCACTTTCTTACCTGTCCCTCATCTACACCTTCTTCCCTGTGGCCCTCCCCGGTCCACACCTCTCACAGACCACCTCCACATTCTAGTAGATGCCCCTACTCCATGGAGAGATGTGCTGTCACTGCTCCAAAGCCTCTGGAACTCTGCATAGGGTAGTGTCATAGCTCCTTCCCTTCTCCTTACCCTAGCACTGAGGTCTGGTCATTATGTCCAGCTGCCTCTGCCCTCACTACCACACCTCACAGCACTCCTGCAGCCCTCTCAGCCACTCAGCAGTTCTGGGCCACAACATACACAGTGGCTCCTTAGTTTCAGTATAAGGTCGTCCCATCTTTCAGGGCCTGCCCTCCTCTGTCAGGACCCCATACTCCAGCTTATATGCTCTGAACCTCTGTGGCCCTCACCACTGCTACCTGCCAGTACAGAGATTTCTGGAGGGCTCTGCCGCCTCCTCTGGTTTCTTCCACACCAGTTAAGGATAGACTGCATACAGTGGGACTTCGGTCACTCTGTTAAATTGACTGTTGCTTCAGAGCTGCCTCTCTCTGTACACCATGTGTGCGGGTCCCAAGTCAACTCTGCCCCCTTCCAGAGTCATGCCAGGAAAATGTGTGAGGTTTTGGCATGTGGGAATCTGTTAAATTGCACATGCAAAGCATCACACTTGAAATTATGTGGCATAACAGCACACATATTAAAATACAAGGTTTATGAGCCTACTGTTTGGTATCCAAAAAAGCCTTCTTCCATAAATGACTAGTAAACATGAGTCTGAACTTAATTTTGGCAGTTCCTTGGAAAAAATGATTCTGTGGAAACCCAGGCATGGCCTGGAGCTAATTACACTGAACTCATTTCTGTGATGCTCCTGCTTAATACAAAAGGCAAATTGTTGATTCTCTGTATCTCCTGCTTTCTCTTTGAAAAATGGCAGTATTTCAGTTAGGAGAATATGTTTTTTGCACAGCAAGCTTGCTTTGTTAACTCCTTTCCTTGTGACGTTTGGGGGTTTCCCACATCTCACCTTCCTTTCCATCCTACACATCCCTTTGCTGTGGCTGGAACAGCATGTTTGTGGGGCTGTCTGGCGCACTCTGGGCACCACTGTTCTGATGGTAATGAGGCATAAACAAGAAGCGCTAACCACTTCCCAGCATTTATTAGCTGACTGCTTTCTGTGTTTCCTTGCAGTGCTGTGTCAGCCTCACACTGACAAACCACTTTGTCCTTGCCACCCACAGACCCTGGGTCTGGGGCTGTTGGTATATGAGGGGTCAGGCAGGAATGCAGTTCTACACCAAAGCTGTCCACATACGTTTTTGGCCCATCCCATGTCCACAAATCCCATCTCCCTCATAGCTTAGGGTATCTTTTGTTATTAGCAAACCTCTTTTAGAACATTAAATTTGTGGCAACTATGTTGGGTAGGGATGTGAACTTATAGGTAATGCTATTGGTAGACACCTCCCTTTGTCTATCTGTCCATCTTTCCCTCTGTCCATTCATCCTCCCATCATCCACAGTCTCCCCATGGCTGCTTCATCCCACAATTCCCTGAGGTACCTATAGAGGCACTGGTGTTTGCCTTGGGGCCCAGCACTGCCCTGATGATGAGGCCAGTGTCTGCTTCTCACCCTTCAGTGTGTGTTGGAGGAGGCAGGATGGGAACGCAAGACCCATCTTGGGTTGGGCATCAGGAACTCATCTCATTTGACCTCCAGCCATACCCTCAAAGCTACCTGGCCTCGTAGAAATCCCACAGTGGTAGTGGGCAAGGGTGATATAAGCAGCTGGTTTTAACCACTTCTCTGGTGTGTGTAGTGTATATGTGTGTGTTTGACTCTACAGGTCAGTTTTTGGGTCGTACGAGAAATTCTAACAGCACAGACTTTAAAAATAAGGGCAGAAATCCTGAGCCATTTTGTGAAAATAGCCAAGGTAAGCTGTTTATTTATTTCTCAGAACATGTTTCCCTAAAGCACTGGGCCTGTCAGTCAGGGGTCACACTGTGAGCGGGGGACTGTGACCTGACCCCAGGCAGAGCTAGCTATGAGAGCCACCTGACCACTGACACCTTGTATGTGCCTTAGTGGTGTGCACCTCCGTCCCATAATTCTGTGGCTAGCCATTCCCCTCACCTGGGCTTTCAGTCTTTTCACTTGGCCTAATAGTTCCCTGGAATCCCATCCTTGTCCTTAAGATTTTACCAGTGCTGGGGGCCAATGGGCTGTAGTTAGTACCGATGCCTGTGATGTCGTCACATCCTGCATAGTCACGGCCACAGAGTCCACTGCGTCCATCCTGAGCTAGGGCATTGGTGGGGCGACCCTGCTGCCCCTGTTTTGGCAGGCTCTGCCCTTGCTGCTCAGCAGGCCCCATCTTTCCTTCTCCCTCATCTCTGCCTGCCAGGCTGTGCCATCCTGTAGCCTTCCTGAACCACTGTCGTACCTAGAGAGCTCCTCCCAGTGCCCTGCTCCCACCACCTGGGCCTGAAAGACACCCCAGCAGCATTGCTCTGATTGGTTCACAGCTTGAGTGTGGTGTGTGCTTCCACCTGGATTCCAGCAAAACTGCCCCGGACCGAAACCCTTTAGTGCCAGGCTGGGTGGTGACTGCTGTGCCAATGTGATGCTTTTCTTTGTTCACACGGTGCTGTCCCAGTCACACTGCAGAAATGGGTGTGAGGAGAGGCAGAGTGGCCATGCTGAGGGCCCAAGCTAGCCAGTGGCAGGACAGGAATCCTGGCCATTTCTGTCTTCAGTGGCATTATTCTGCCGCCCCCCAGAAGACTGAGGGCAATGGTCACCATGCCTGTGAGTTCTTCTGAAGCACCCGGAATTGGTGCCGTGCTTTGTGCTCCTTGTTGCTGTCAGTCAAGACCATGCTGGGTCAGAAAAGGGTGTGGGGAATGGCCCCAGCCCTCCTAGGGCTTGTGTTTAGAAATGAGTTACGGTCCCCACTCAGGGAATGCAAAATGACCCCTCCTTAATCTGTGCCTTCTTCATGAAGATTGTCATGTTGGCCCTACATCCAGGTGTAGCCTTGGCATGTCGCTGCCTTCTCTGAGCCTTGGTTTTCCCATCTCTGAAAGAGAAAGGGCAGGTTAGGTAAGCTCCCAGAGGCCTTCTCGCTCCCAGAGGAAATCCTGTGATAGGCATAGCGAGTCGGATTCTAGAACGAAGCTTCCCACAGAGCCATCTATTCTTACACACAGGAAACAATTAGAGATTGTTACAAGATGTCTGAAATGAAGCATTTGGGGTGATATTTCCAAGTAGGAGCAAAGTCCAGACTGGAGGGCTTTTCATCTATTTATTATTTTGCTGACTGTGTGCTGGCACTGTGAGGTACGGGAATAGGGTGGTAGGTAACACTTTGTCCCTGCTCTCACAGGACACCTAGTCCAAAATGAGAGAGAGCCAGGGAAAAGCAGCTTCAAACCAGAGTGCAGAGACATGCTCAGGACTGTGTGGGAACACAGGCATTTGGGAACATGGTTAGAAGAGACATGGTAGAGGAAGGGCCTTAAGGATAAGGGATTGGGGAGGGGAATGAGCCTTCCTGAGAGAGAAGACCCAGACCCACCTGGCTGGGCAGTTGACATACTCTAGCCCACATGTCACAGGTGCTCATTACCATTCTTGTTTGAACTATAAGAACACTAGCTCTCTGAAGGCTCAGGTATTGGGAGCTGGGATTGGGTCTAAGGAGACTGTTACCCGGGCCTTGCTGCCACCCAAGAGTGAGAAATGGGACCTTGCCCTGTTAGCAAGTTTGCCTCAGCATAAAACCAAGAACAGAGCAATTACATTTTTCTGCCCTGACTCTCTACTTTGTGTCTCATTCTGTGGCCCTCCGTGGTAAAGAACTTGTCTGAGACTGAATTGACACCAAATGTTCTCACTCATTTGGGGTCTGGTTTAAAAACTCACGGTCAAGTGCCTGGGAAACCGCAGCCTTGCCTTCCCAGCTGAGAGTGATTACACAGATCGATAACATCTCCCTGGCCTCTTTCTCATTCGATGTTAGGGTGATCATAGAAGCAGCTGATGCTGTTGGCATGCTGGGGTCTTCTCTTACAGAAGCCTGTTGGCAGGTTCGGAGTCATCTAAGAAAGAACGTATAGAGGGGCTGGGGATAGTCAGTGGTAGAACGTATGCCTGAGGCCCTAGGTTCGAACCTGAGCTCTGAAAAAAAAAACCCAACTTATTAGAAAGAATGTAGAGCAGTTATCTAGTCTCAAGCCTCACTGCTGCCCAGCAGCCTGTCAAATAAGTTTATGAAATTTTGCAAATCTTTTAGATGAAGTCTCGTCTTTTGAAAATTAGGGAGAAAAAGATCATATGTTTCCTATGAACTTCCTAGAACTATATTTTCTACATGAGACATTTTTAAGTATAATTGAATTTTATAAACATGGCAGCATTTGGTACCCCTTGAGCATGTTTTTATCCTGTTGTTTATAGCAGCAAAATAATGTGTTCCATATCTCCTTTTTTTCCCCAGAAACTTCTAGAACTCAACAACCTTCATTCTCTCATGTCTGTGGTATCAGCATTACAAAGTGCTCCCATCTTCAGGCTGACAAAAACCTGGGCTGTAAGTTAATCTCCCTGAGTCTACCCCTTTGATCTTGGCTGCCCTCTCCTTGCTGAGCATCTGCTGATGACTTAAGCCTACCTAGGCTTTCTCTGACTATCTGCACTTTGCTAAGGACAGTTACTATGAGTTAACAAAATGTTCTCTGGGCATCCTCATGACTCCAGTGACCCCAGCCTCATTTTGGTTCTAGGGAGTGGGGAGGAGGTGGACATGGCTGAGCTTGGAAGCCACCAGTGGGATCTTCCTGGACCCCTCAGCGTCATCTATGATGGCCGGGTTAGCACATGACTTCTGCCTTTAGCTTCGCCAGTACTTCATATCTGGCAGGCTCCAGATTGCCCTTGGGAAGGTCTCTGCACTGATGTTTTGCAGCTGCCCTGGGTCACTGGCCATAGAGCTCAGAGTTTCTCTGGAGAAAACTATGACCCTATGTAGGAAAAAATGATTTTTTTTTCTTTTTTTTTCCTGAGGCCTTGGATAATTTCAGCTCAGAGGTGGAGGCTGATAGTTATATAATTGAGTCTGTAGGAAAGTTTTCCTGCTGTAAAAATACTTTAAAAATATCTCAGACTTTTTTATCCTCTTTGGCTGGTGCAGCACCTGACATAGGGGAAGTAATTGCTATTTCCATAGCTCATTAGCATTTGCCTCCTGGCCTGCCTAGTCCAGGTCTCTCACAGCCACAGACCAAGGCTTCCAAGACCTGTTTACGTCCCACAGAACTGACAGGACTGTATGGAACTAGATGTGTTTCTACCACTCATTTCCAATCTTCCCTTTGCCAGTCCCTGGGACTGGACTCTGTTTCCTACTTGGCCAGCTCAGGGGCCTTTAAAATACTTAAGGATTATGTTGTAGGTGATACAAAATGAGCCTTACTTCTTTAAGTGGCAACTTTCCCAATATCTGGCCATGGTAGAACGGGGTAAGAAACATCAGCCTGGAGTCCGGACTCTGGGTTTGCATTTAGGCTCCATTTAGTACAGGCCTTCTTTCTCATCTCTGCTCTGGGCAGTTGGCCTGGAATAGTGGATTTCTGTCAGTGCTTCATAGAGCTCTAGAGGTCCTTAGAACTGTCTTATGGGCCACCAGGAGCTGAGGGAGAGGCGTGCAGGGGCCAAGAAGACAGCCCAGGCTCCACCAGAGCAGCCTATTTGTATATGGGGCTTCTGGGTGGACTGAGCAGTGGTTTTGCAGGTCAAGAGCAAATTTGGAAGCCACTGCCTCTGCGGTCCCTGCCAGCCTTGTGATTCCAAGGCCATCTGAGCAATGAGGCTTTCTTCAAAAGTTTTTTGGAGATTCTTTTTCAAATGACTTTTCCATCATTGAGCTGCTGTTATTCTTCCTTGGGCTGCTGGGAGCCATGTGGAGACCCAAAGGACTGCATTTGGAATCTTCTCATGTGAGCAACACTGTGACTCTCAGGGACCTCTGCTAGCTGTGTATTTGATGAGGCACAGAGATGTGACCTGCTCAGGGATGGGCAGAGCCCTCCATGAAACTGCAGCGTACTGCAAAGGGTACTGTCTGCTGCTGGGGCCGAGGGCAGCACCAGGTCAGAGCAGTGCCAGGGCTGCACAGTTCATTGAGCCCAAATGCAGGTGGAGCACTGCCGTTTTGGGCCTATGCTGCCACCAAAATGAACCTCCATAGCTTCTTGGGGAGCCTGAACCCGAGCACTTACTCTCAGGGAATGTGGCTAAAAGGAAAATTCAGGTAGCTGAGATTTCATGTCAGTAGCGGTCAGGGGTCTTGGAACAGCAGTCATCTCTGCTTTTTCTGAGACGTCTTCCCACTGTGTCCATGGGCTGGGAGCCAGGTGGCTTCCCTGGCTATGGAGGGCCACTTGCCCAGGCAGAAGGTGTGAAGACACAGCATTTTAGGAAGTGGGGATGGCAGCTGCCACGCCCTGGCGCAGGGAGAGAGGAAGCTATGCAGCCACATGGATTATTACCCAGGACTTCCAGTTCCAACTGGCCAGGGGGTGGTTGGTTCTCAGTAAAGCTACTACCTGCCTTGTTTTAGACCTACTCTGTCACCCACCTGTCCTGTTAATTCAATGACAGCCTTTGCACAGAGTGTTTGGAGAAGGGAGAGGCCCGGATTCAGCCTCTTTCCCTTCGCAGCTGTTGTTCCCAGGCTCGTGGAAAGGAGGACCCTCTTTACTGTACACAGTGGAGCTGCCGTGTGCTCTGTGGTTCTGGCCCCATGTCTGCCTGCCTCTTGCCTTCATTCCTCATGACAGGTCTCATTTTTCTCTCCCTGTGCCAGCCAGCACACGCGTGTTGTCTGAAGTATATGCTTATCCTGAATTGCATTCTTCTTTTGCTCTTAATGGCTGGCAGCGAGATTTTAGCCATAAAAATGCCACCCACAAGCCACTTCCTCTCTTCTCCCATGTCAGCTGAGTTGGAACTGGTGAGACCTTATGGGCCCATGTGACCGGGAAGAACAAAAGATTCTAACCACCCAATGGCCAGCACTTTTATAATCCCTGTTTGGCAAAGAGGAAACTGAGTTTCCAGAAAGTGGAATGACCTGTGACCTCAGAGCTGGTGAGTGCCGGAACCAAATGGATGCAGCCTGGTTTAGCTGGACCCATAGTCTACTTGCCCACTGTGTGGACCCCTGCAGTGGTAGAAGGTTCGATCACATCAGGCCAGTGCAAGAAGGGCCACACACACACTGGAAAGTGGGACTGAGAGATGTGGCCGGCCATTGAGCATGGCTGCTCTCTGAATGCTGTCCCTAGGAGTATGCAGAGGCCCTGGATATCTGGGAAGACTAAACAGAACAGGCAGGAGACCTGCCACTTGGCTGTACTGTAGACAACCTGTAGTGTGGGTCAGTCAGTCACTGGCTAAGACAGAGTAGCCTGTAAGCCTGTCCATGGCTGGCCCCTGAGTGCCAGCAGCTGGATGAGTCGGACAGGGCTGACTGACGGACAGAGGACAGGCCTGTACATAGTAAGATCTCAGTGGATGCTGGCTGAATCCACAAATAGGGAGTCATGGCTGGTCTGGAACAACACAGGCAAGGAGTTACTTATCCCGGAACTGAGGCCATTTTGGAATATCACCTCGTCAAAGCCTCAAAGCCTAAGCAAGAAAGTGTATCAGCCAACTCTGATTTCCCGAGTACACATCACCTTGTGGCTCTTATTCATTCTGAAGATCAAATATTGATTGAATGCCTCCTCCATGCCAGATTCTGAGACTGCAGCCAAGGTGGTGTGCTCGTAGCTTTCATGTCCGTCTGGGGCAATAGACACGGTTCTCGGGAGTGGATGCATCTCCTTAGCTGGCATAGAGGCAATTGAGAGACGCCATTGGTTGAATGCATGAGTAGCGAGCACAGCGCGTGAGACGGGAGTAAAGACAGAGTACAGCGGGGGTAGGTGGCCGAGGGCCGGTATCAGCTTTGGCTTGAATGACAAAGGGGAAGCAACCACATCACAGTGAAGAGATGATCATTCCAGGCAGAGGGAACAGCTGGTGCTGTGGCACCAAGGGAGAAGAGTATGGTGTCATAGAGGGACCCACATGTCAGTATAACTGGAGCTCACAGCCTGGGGGAGACGTCAGGTACCATTCCAAGTGCACAGAAGGACTTTGAACAGGAGGTAGACATGATCTAGTTTAGTGATTCTTTGCTTTGTGTGTTTTTAATCCCTGTTGCTAATGTGTATAAAACAAATTAGGAGAAGTAGAAACCAAGGCTGGAAACGGGGGCCTAGTTACTTGGTGAAAACAGAGTTCAGGAGTGAAGTAATACTGACCACAACACAGTGGCAATGGGATGATGCAGGATGTGTTCTGAAGAGAGGGCACCAGGGGGCGCCACTGATAGGATGGGACTAGGGACAGTCCCCAGGTTTGAGCCTGAGCGACTGGGAAGCCGCCAAGACCTGTTATGTAACTGGAGTGATCCTGGGGAGAGGCTGCTTATTCCTGAGACACCTGGGGCTGGAGTCCATGGTGTGAGGAAGTCACCCATTAGAGTCATCACAGTCCTGTGTTCCACATGCTCCCCCTCAACTCCCCTGACAGAGTATACATGACACTCGCACACATGTATGTGTACACACACACACACACACACACGTTTTGCTTGCCCTGTGCACCTATCCAGAGTGATTCTTTCTTTCCTACTAAATTGGTCCAAAGAGTTTGACTCATTTGTGGCAGCAAAGTGAAAACTGAAGTTGTTGGCGTGAAGGAAATCACCACTGATGGGCAGGAGGCCTGGTCTGCAGGGTGTGACCTGGGAGGGGACCGTCCTGGAGCAGAGCTCCCACTCCCCCATATACCAGGCCTCAGTACGAGGAGGGCCCCTTCCACTGAGATCTAAGGCCCCTTGGCAGACACTTGAGGCCGGCAGATGTATGGCATCCCCATGCTTTGGATCTGAGAATTACTCATCCTGAAAGTGAGTCTTCCCACTGCATCTGCAGCAGCAGCAACAGCAGCATCGCAGCGACTCCCCACTGACATGGTGGAGGAGGCAGGAGGAAGCCGAGGCTGTTGGTCTCAGGCTTCTCTGAGTCTTGGCCCAGATGGGAGTTGAGCCAGGTGAGGCCGACGGGGAGGAGGAACGTCAAGGAAAGCAGCAGTGGCGGCCCCTGGCAGCTCCTTCCCGCCATTCTGTAGACCTGCTCCTCAGACATTCTGCATCATTGCTGGGGAGGCTGACATTTCACCCTCATCTGCCTGGCATTGTGAGGAAATGCTGGACACTGTCCATCAAACTCTTCCTGATAACCCTCTCTGCCCCGGTCCTAACTCTCCTCACGCTCTTCTGACAGCTGCCTCCCTGACTCTTTCTGTGACCGTGGACATGGTGGTTCTTCAGGGTTCTGACCTCAGTCCTCCCCTCCCCACTGTTTTCCTCCTTGATGAGCACACCAGCCTGGAGAGCTTCAGCTGTTATTCCTGTACTCCTGTGGTGGTTGGTTGTGTGGTCCAAGCCCTGACTGCTTCTGAGCTAGGGCTCACTCA